GGTATGATGTGAATTAGGTGAATTTCCTTGAGCAGACAGACAGGCGTTAGATATATTCTTGCATAACATGAATCCTAGATGTAATTTTCATGTATGTGTGTGCAGGCACAGTTCATAACGGTAGAAACTTGAGATGTGAAAATCACATCCCAAACAGTGGAAAGAATAAAGAATAATGGGAAAAATGCCATGTGAGATGAAAGCATGAAATTGTGTATCAGGAGGACAAAAGTGACTGTGACTGTGAGGGAGGACAAGGAATAGGCAGGGCAGTGAGAGAGGGGGCTCAAAAACAGGAAGTGTGTGGGAACATGCAATACAGAAAGTCTTGAGTTTTAAAGCTGATTTAAAAAGTGAATATATTAGGATCTTACCATCATATGCTGGGTGTCAAGAGCATGGGCAATGGCCAGTGTGGTTTGAGGGGCTATGGGATCCCAAGTCAATAGCTTTAATAAAATGAGTGCATTCTTGGCATTGGGCATTTTCTTTTCTAACCTATGGTTTCTAGTAGGGGTAATGTGCACCTGTTATAAGGTATCTCCATTTAGTATATGTTAAAAATGTCTGTGAATATACATTAAGAAGCTTCTATAGTGGTAGGGTTAGAGAACCCTCTGAATACTCCCTCCTCAGCCCTGCCCTCCCTTAACATCCCCATTGAACCCTTCCTATGCTATTATTCCCCTTCCCCCTGTATATCAGTGCATTCTGTCTCGCTTCCCATGAAGACCCCACACCCCTCCATGGCCATTTATTCATTTTCTGAGCTCTCTATTTTCCAATTGAAACATGCACACCTAGGAATTCAAAGCTACCAGTCACCTATAAAAGAGAAAATGCAACATGTTTCTTTCTGGGTCTGGGATACCTCACTCAGGAAGATTGTTTCCCCTTCTAACCAGCTGCCTGTGAATTTCACACTTTTGTTTTTCATAATGGCTGAATGACATCCCATGTAAACATGTTATGTAAACATCCCAAGCTGTCATTATATATTCATAAGTGGATAAAATCTGGGTTGTATGAAGGGCAGCAATGAACATGGAAGAACAGGTATCTCTGTTGTATGTAGAGAGTCTTTGAGATACAGGTCCAAGAGCAGTACAGGTGAAAGATTGACTTCCACCTTTTTTGAGGAAGCTCCACCTGATTTCCATTTTGGCTGCACCAGTCCGCACTCCCATCAAAGGCAGAAAAGTGTCACTTTTTCACACATCCTTGAAAAACGTTTGCCAATTGTTTGTTCCTTAGATGTTAGCCACTGTGAGTCAGGTAATAAGAAATCTCAAAATGGTTATAATTTGGATTCCCCTTATGACTACAGATGTAAAACATTTTTAAAGAATTGGGCTGGAGAGATGGCTCAGCGGTTAAGAACACTGCTCTTGCAGAAGACCCAGGTTTGAATCCCAGCACCCACATGGCAGCTAACAACTGTCCATAACTCCAGTTCCAGGGGATCCAATAGCATCTTCTGTCCTTTGTGGAAACTGCATGACATGGGTGCACTTACCTACATGCAGGCATAACACTCATACACATAAAATAAAAATAATAAATAAAATACTTTTTTTAAAAAAACCAAAACATTTTTAAAGAATTTCTCAGGGTTTTGCATTTCATTCTTGGAGAACTTTCTGTCCAGGACATGGTCCCATTTTAAGTTGAAATGTATGTTCTTTTGATATTTAATATTTTAAGTTTGTTATATATTCTAGACACTAGGCCTCTGTTAGTACCAGAAATTGATGACAATATTCTGCTGCTGAAGACAGTCATGAAGTATAGAAAAAAAAATTTTCTACATAGAAGTCAAGCTGGTACTGACTTAAAAGCTTCATCGCTACTGTCTAGCCTTCATGGTGCTGGAAGGTGCTTTGTATGCTATGACAAGAAAAAATTAATCATCAGCCTTACCCAGCTGTGAATTCTGTGAGCTACAACAACTGGCCTGCAATGGTTTGTGCTTTCGTGCAACAGTGACAATAATATTGTGGGAGTAGTTAACCACATTCTAATTGGATTTAAAGTCTCCTTCATAATGTGGAACCCATATCTGATATTGATATCAGCCTTGGGGATCACAGGAGAGAACATAATTCCATTATTCAACTCAATATATATGGTATTAATCTGACTCCTAATGACTTATTGTTATGCAAATGATTAATGCATCTCTAAATTCCCACTAGTAGACCTTCCAGATGCAGAACTTGGTGATTCACATGAAGAAACATAACTGGTTGATGTGCAGATAATTAGACTGCACAGTCCCTATCCCTGAGTAGGATACTTACATCAAAATTCTGTGTCCTAACTCTCAGGGATCACTGCAGAAGAGCAGACAGAAATATTGAAAGAGCCAGAGATCGAGGAATAACACAAGGAAATAGATTTGCAGACAGCTGGGAAGTTACTCATATGAACTCACAGCAACGGTGACAGCATGCACAAGTCCCACATAAGCTCAAGACAGACAAACTCTCAGCACAGACATGGGAAAGTAGGTAAAATAGCGCAACCCTACTTGAGGAAGTATTGGCCAAGCTACTCAGAGGGGGAGGAAGAGTCTCTTCAAGGATATGATTCTTCATATGTTAACCAGACTGCAGTGGATATATATATGGAGAGACAATTAGGGGGAAAGATAGAGTGAGAACATGAAGTTGGGTGGTGGGGTTAGTAAAGGGGGTGCAGAAAGGGAAGAGTCTCTAAATATGATCAATATACACTATATGATTTTTTTTTTGATTCAATAAAAAAGAAAAAAATTGAGCCGGGCATGGTGGCACATGCCTTTATTTGCAGCACTTGGGAGGCAGAGGCAGGCAGATCTCTGTGAGTTCAAGGCCAGCCTGGTCTACATAGGGAGTTCAGGGCCAGCTGGGGCTACAGGGAGACCCTGTCTCAAAGAAAAAGGGAAAAACTGAACCCAGAGAATACTAGCCATTTGAGTGCAGTATTTCCTATATGGTGAAAAGAGAAATTGTCCATGTGTACAAAATTCTCAAGTAATGTATGAACATTATATTTTTAAAAGAAAAACAGTGAGGGGCTGGAGAGATGGCTCAGCGGTTAAGAGCACTGATTGCTCTTGCAGAGGACCCGGGTTTGATTCCCAGCACCCACATGGTGGCTACAAACCATCCTTAATTTCAGTTCCAGGGGAATCTGAAGCCCTCTTCTGACACCCGTGGCACTGCATAACACGGGTGCACTCATATACATACAGGCAATACACTCGTACACATAAAATAAAAATAATAAAAAAAAATTAAAAAAAAAAAGAAAAGAAAAACAGTGAAAACATTGAATCATCTACTATAGCTGCTCAGAAATAGAGCCTGAGATAAAATACAGTGTTTAACAGTATTTTAGTGGTAAAATGAAAAAATGTGCCCATAATAATTCCAAAGATCCTTACAGGAATGATACATGAAATGATTTAAAGTGAAAAACTTTCCAAGGTGTGCTGAATGGTGGACACCTGGGAGATGGGCCAAAATTGAGTGAGAAGAGTCATGCGGGACTCTTACAGAGTCCTATATATTCCCACTCTTTTTCTTATCATTTTTTTTGGCATTGTCTTTCTGTAGCCCCACCTGACCTGGAACTACCTAGGTAGGTACACCAGGCTGAGCTTGATCTCACAGACTGGCCTGCTTCTGCTGGGAAGAAAGGCAGAGCTGCCAATTCCTAGTCTTAACAGCTACTCACATTCAATGATTGTAGAGCCTTTTAGAACTCATTGGTTGGTAAAATTAATATCAGTGTAATCACATATATGGAAATTTTTCTAAGAGAATTTTTTAAAAAATAGACATTTTAAGTTAAAAGGCCCAAAAACCTATTCAATTTAAAGAAAATCCTATGACTTTACTATTACACTTGAGGGCTTGAAATGGCTGAATACATTTGAACAAATGGGTTTCTTTTTCCTTTCTGCAAATACTATTTCCCTACAGGGTGAATATGAGGAAAGAATGGAATATTTTGGATGTCATCATTAGACATCACATACAGAGTGATGGAGTGACAGGACTGATTGACTCAGCACCGTAAAGAAAGTCAGGAGGGAGCTGGAGAGATGAGTCGGTGGTTGACACAAGGAGCATGTGAGCAGCATGAGAAAGCATCATCCCAAAGAAGCCTAGACTGACTCACGCACAACAGGAGGATGTGCAGCTTCCCACACTCAGAGAACACTCTCAGGATGGACTGGGCAATACAGCAAGTCTCAAATATTACACAAGCTCAGGGTTTCTCCATCTCTTTTCTCCCAAATCTGGGACACAGACATCAACAGTAGGAAGAAAAGAGGAATCCACCAATGTCGTGTGAAAGTCACACATACTAAACACATTCTTATCTAAAATAGAATAAAGAATTTCATGTTATACAAATATTCTAAGTAAGTCTCATCAGGGGTTACAGTCATTTTGAAAGAAATGCATCAATTTTAAAACAATAGGAATCAGAAGAACACATTTTGAAGCAGAAACAAAATGAAAGATGCAAAATTTATTTATTTCAAAATATGTTAAAAACTTCACTTACTAGGCGTTAATATATATCACAGAATGGATGAAATCTCTTAGGGGATGTATAGGGAGTGCAAGTGGGGGTATAAATATGATTAAATTGTTTATTAAATATACAAAAATATATATATTAAAAAATGTTGCAAAGGAAAAACACAGAGAAAAAAATCAGGTATCTTGCACTGGTAAGAAATGTAATGTGGGAGATCTGGAAAAATTAAATAAAAAATTAAATGAGTGAGATTTGCATACTAGTAATTTCCACATAATTCATGAGCAATAAAAGAAGTCATTTGACATTACTACAGGACATATCTTGATGAAATTGCCATAAATTAAATTATCAGAAAGTCTTTCTGATTCTGAAACAGACTATGGCAAAACCATGTTCAGGTCTTTATCCCTCTTTACTTAAGACCTCTCACCCGGGCCCATCCTTCACCCACTCAAACCTACCTGGTTGGCTACAGTCTCCCCTCTCTTCACATTCCAGGGCTCTTTGCTTTGCTCCAGACAGGAGACCAGAACAGGCTTACACACAGCAAGACCTGTGTAGGAGACAGAGGCACATGACACTTGCTGGATTCTTTAGAAAGTACTGGGTTTCTAACACAGCACTGTGCTCCAAGGATAATACAGCAAAATAGAGAGGACTCTCCAAATAATTTCTCAATTATTCTTTTAGGACAGACTTATTAGATACAGAGGACTTTTTTCAGTTTTTATATGCTGAGTTCCATGATTGATTCAAAACACAGCTATGGAAATGGAATTTTAACATTATGGCTACAGTATATCATGTACTAATGGGTGACTGAAATTAACACCAAAAATAATAAAGATGGATTATATTTCTAACAACTGAAAATGGAAAGAAATGGTAAACATAAACATGCTGTTCATGATGCCCAGACATTCCCAATGCACTAATTATGAAAGAATTCAAGAATGATTCAGCAAAACTAACATATCTACCAAGTACACTGCTATCTATCAAAGGATGCAGAACAGTAAAAATTCTGCAAGAAAAATCTCCTCACCTACAGACACCAGATTTCTGTAGTTCTCCAACATCACCTCACTGTACAAAGCCCTCTGAGCAGAGTCTAGGCATTCCCACTCCTCCTGGGAGAAGTCAAAGGACACATCCGTGAAATTCAATGGATCCTAAAATGAAAAATGACAACTTGACCATGTACTGACAGGGGACTGAACCCAAGGAAAAATAGAGATAAGTAATAAAAACATTCTGAACTACAGGAGCAATCTAAATTATTCAAAAGGATATTTCTTAATGTAGTAACTCTCTATAATCTACTCCCTAGATCTGTGCAAGAAAGAACAGCATCGGATCCTCCAAATTTTTATGCAGATTATGATTTTAAGGAGTGTAGCACATAAATTAAGCCCTCAACACAGGAATACCATTTCCCTCCTGTATTTATAGCATACAAGAGCAGTTGAATGCATTTATACCATGTAAAGTCATGCTGATTTATAAGTCTGCTGCATGAATTCAAATGTTTATAACCATGCACTGTAGTCTTAGCTGAAACATGGATTTTGGCTTAACAGGATTTGTGGCTGGGCCTGACTAAACCCTTTCCTAACAGAATTTGCAGTGAGGCCAGTGACCCAGGAACAAAGGACACTTTCTCTAGCAGCGCAGAGCAGATAATGGCGGAAGAATAAAGGAGGAGCTTAAATGAAGAGTGCCATGGATGGTGTGCACTGTCCCTCAACAGCAAGAACAGACACAATCCTTGTGACGTGTGTCCTAGAACCTGCATGTAATGTAGACATTATAGAAACATTAGCTCATAAAATATTATAACAGAATCTTTTTATACTACTTTCATTTTTTATCTTCATTTACTAACTTAGAATTTATGTAGAAGGAACCCACTGTCTGACTTATGTACACCACAATAACAGGATTTGAGAACTGAGCTCCTCACCACAGAGAGTAATGAAAATATGAAGACAAGATCCAACAATGACTGAACAATGTTGGTGCAGCATATTCAAATGCTTCCAAAATCAGTCAACTACATGTGTGTAGCATTTGATAACCAGAACTCTTTCCTGAGGCTCAACGAACCAGTAATGGAGGCAGTGCTGTGATTGAGTGTGAAGTAGAAATACCAACAGAGAGGAAGAGACCTGCTTCAGAATCTCCACCTGGAGAACTCAGGATTTAGCAAACAAATGAGCAAGGTTTCTGTCTCCAAAGAAAAGAAGAAAACTAGAGTCATGAAAGGAGAGATTCTGCATTAAATGCCATGATTCATGAGTCCATCCTCCTTAAATTGAAGACCAGCATGTTTCAATGTTCACCTAAGATATCAGAAATGTTTCTGAGATGGTTTGTCATACATTCATTGGATTAGTCTGGAAAAAAAAAAACTGAGGACAGAATGGAGAGACAGCTATGCTACATAGTGATACATATGTAAAGAGCTGATGTGGGTGTGGTGTGGTGGTGCAGGTATTTAATAACAAGACTCCAATGGCAGAGGCATGCTGACATCTGTGAGATCCAGGCCAGCCTGGTCTACATAGCAAGTTTGTCATACATTCATTGGATTAGTCTGGAAAAAAAAAAACTGAGGACAGAATGGAGAGACAGCTATGCTACATAGTGATACATATGTAAAGAGCTGATGTGGGTGTGGTGTGGTGGTGCAGGTATTTAATAACAAGACTCCAATGGCAGAGGCATGCTGACATCTGTGAGATCCAGGCCAGCCTGGTCTACATAGCAAGTACTCCAGCCAGAAAAGTGTATAAATCTGAAATGGTAAATATATATATATAGACCCCAGTCCATCCTCCTTGGGAAATGAAAACTGAAATGTTTGAAGTTTCACCTATGACATCAGAAGCATTTGAGAGATGGTTGTTGATGAACTCCTTGGATTAGTCTGGAAAACATAAGCACTGGAGGACAAAATGGAGAGGTGGACATGCTACACAGGTGATACACATGAGAAGAGTTAATGTGGCCCGGGCATGGTGGCACAGGCCTTTACTCCCAGACCTCCAGGGGAAGACGCATGAGGACCTCTGTGAGATTCAGGCTAGCCTGTTCTACATAGCTAATTTCGAGATCAGAAAAGCTTACAAGTTCAAAATACCAAACATTTAGAGAAAGAAAGTATATGTGGACCAGGCCCTTGGATGAATTTACCTGAAAAGAAGCCATCCCTCTCCTCCCTCTGTGAGTTTCCTTGCCAGGCAATCGTACATAAACTGTCTTCTCTTTCTTTTGAGAGACTTCCTTTCAGTTCACTGAAAATCCATGTCACCTGCCAACATAAGAAGAAGAAGCACCTCAGAAAACAAAACAGGCTGTTCTCAGTCTGCACTCGCAGTAGATGTGCAGGAAGAAAGACCTCAACATGGAGACCCCATAGAAGTTTCTGCTTTCCTGCCTTCCAGTGGACGCCCTGCCAGCAAGATCAAGAATTCCTACTACATTCACGAGAATGTCACTGCCTCTGAAGAAAGACCTCAACATGGAGACCCCATAGAAGTTTCTGCTTTCCTGCCTCCCAGTGGCTGCCCTGCCAGCAAGATCAAGAATTCCTACTACATTCACGAGAATGTAACTGCCTCCCCTCCTTACCTAAACAAGGCAGAGTAACACAGTTTTCATCCTTTGGAATACAGACTAAACTAAGCTTTCCTTCAGAAGCACTGGCAGCTGACCCCCAGCCTCACTATCTTCTGCCTGCGACTGTTAATGAAACAGCACTGATGCTTCTACATAGCTTCATAGACAGACTCTGGGGGTCGGGGGGAGGCACAAGGGAGAGTTTTCCTTTTAAAGGCTAAAGTTCAGGAGTCGTTCACTGTGAATTTTAAAAGTCTATTCTTGGGGCTGGAGAGATGACTCCAGGTCAAGAGGTCAAGAATACTGGCCACTATTGCAGAGGACCTGGGTTGCGTTTGCAGCAGCCACATGGTGCTAACAACTGTACTTAACACCTGTTCCAGGGGTTCCCACACTGTCTTCCCGCCTCCACAGACATGGCTCACATGGCTGCGCTTACATATATGCAAGCACAACACTCTTGCACATAAAATAAATAACTTTTAATGAAAATGCAATCTTTGTGTGATGACACAATATTTTATGTTTATGAGGTGTCCCTGATATTTTGTGAGACATATACAATTGGAAATTGATCTAATCAGTCATTAATATAGCCACATGTACAATTTTATCCTTTCCTATGGTGAGTGTATCCAAACTGATCTGTTCTAATAATTTTTAAGATATAAAATGCAACTTGGAGAATTTTATTTACCTTATTGTCGCATACAATAGAACTCAGTTAAGCCATGAAGCCGTGACACTGTGTCTGTTATTTACCCACATTCTCCCCATTCGCTGAAAACTGCTATTGTACCTTCAACATCTGTCATCTGTCTTTTCTTTTTCTATTTCTCTTATGGCTGAGATCATGTAGTGCTTGTCTCGACTTCCTTCACCCGATATAGCATCCATCAGATCAATCCTGTTCTCAAGTGTGAGAGGATTCTACTCTTTCCTATGATGGAATTGTGGTGTATTCTTTAGAAATATCACATTTCAGTAAATCTTTCATTTGTTAATAGGCATTTAAGTAGAATTCCTATTCAAACAGTGCTGCCATAATTAGGGAGTGCACATATCTCTATGCCGTTTTGAATTCATTTTCTTTGAGTACCTATGCAGGATTTGGTGTAGAATCCATACTTCAGAGAGAACACCTGTGCCTTGTTTTATGGCACCTGTCTTACCTCACTTAGTCCAGCCATTTCTAGTTCCATTCATTTACCTGCAAATTCCTTGATTTTCTTTTCCTTTACCATTGAGTAAAATTCCAATCATAAATGTACTAAATTTACATTATCCATTCATAGACTGAGGGACATTTAGTTTGTGCATCTGAATTTCAAAGGAAGTAGAATGGAAACTTTTCTTTTAAACTCTGGTTTAAATGTGTCTCTTCTGATGAACTGGGAGGGTTTTGGTTGACATTAAGACTCTCACATTATTGAAATTTCATGGGCAATATTGAAGGAGCCATCAGTTTATAATACTCAGGCTCATGAAGCAGTTTTCAATCCCGAAGCTACCTTGTGACATTTCTTCCAGTATATACATTTTAATATGAGAATTCATGCAATGGTAATTGTGTTAATAGCCAATTTCAAAAATGTATGTAGAGAACAAAATATCACATTGCACCTCCTAAATACATATAGTTTTTCTTTGTCAAAAATTAATGTTAGCTGAGAGAAGTGGTGCGCGCCTTTAATCCCAGCACTCAGGAGGCAAAGGCAAAAGGATCTCTGTGAGTTTGAGGCCAGCCTGATCTACATAGCGAGTTCAAGGCCAGCTGGGACTACAGGGAGACCCTGTCTCAAAAATACCCATCCCATGGGGCTGGAGAGATGGCTCAACGGTAAGACACTGACTGCTCTTGCAGAGGACCCGGGTTTTTTTCCCAGCACCCACATGGTGGCTACCAACCATCCTTAACTCCAGTTCCAGGGGAATCCGAAGCCCTCTTCTGACCTCCACGGCATTGCACAACACTGGTGCACTCACATACATGCAGGCAATACACTCATGCACATAAAACAAAAATAATAAATAAAGTATTTTAAAAATACCCCTCCCCCCGAAAATTAATGCTAAGGTGCTGGAGAGATGGGTCAGAGGTTAAAAGCAATGCCTACTCTTGCAGAGGAACCAGGCTCAATTCCCATCAGCTAACAACCATCTGTGACTACGGTTACAGGGGAACTGACCCCGTCTTCTGACCTTAGTGTGCATTGCACCACATGGTTGCATTTACATACATTCAAGCAATACACTCAACACATAAAATAAAATAATAAAACATTTTTTAAAATTAATATTAAAAGGGGGAAAATCCTGTAACTGCATTTTAATTTACAGATGTCTGACTCCATGTCTCAGAAACGTACTTTCTAATAATTGATGATAACCTTTTTCCACACTTATAATGTGTGCAGGGCTGTGTCCCACAGGACCACCTTCCTTTTGAGTGTGTTTCAGGACATCACCATCACCCCCAGTACCCCAGGTGGTCACAGCCTAATGCACAAGACACCAAGTGCTCTAGCACCTTTGTATGCCTGTTCTGGGTGGCTCATGATTTGAGTATTTAGAAAGTACCTGGATTTCTAACACAGTAGTGTCCTCAATTGATAAAGAGAAAACACAACAGGGAATTATATCAATGATTCTCCAGTTGGAACATTCTTTCAGAACACTGATATTTACAGAGCTTCTTCAGGTTGCATAACTAGTGTTCCACCTCTAATGACAGCTCAGCCCAAATTCCAGGTTGGAAATGGAACTTTATGACTGTGTGATAATACTATGTGCTATAAAGTTTCTGAATTTATCATGGAACAAAAATGAAAGAAGTGTAACCCCTCCAAAGGACAAACGAGAACAGACACAGTTACATTACAGTGTTCTTTTCTCCTCTGAGGATTTCACTTTGAGATGTGATACTGATTCACACAACACACACACACACACACACACACACACACACACACACACATAGTAGTTCCCCAAGGAACTCTGAGTATGAGTAAGAAATTCTGTAAGAAAAATATTCCCATCAACCAAAACAAGAGAGCTGTAACTCCACAATCAGGTCTCTTTACAAAGCCCTCTGAGCAGGATCTAGGCACTCCCTCTCCTCCTGTGAGAAGCCCACAGCCACATCAACGTCAACACATCCTGAAATGAACAATAACAGTTTGACCATCTGCCCACAGGCAGATTGCTTTTCTTGGATCAAGGAGACCAAAGATATTGAGAGGCATTTTCTGATGTAGGGAGGATCATAGTGTTCTGAAGATCCTTTTGGACATTGCCATATTCTCTAATGTGCTCTCTCACTGTGGAAATGCCATGGCAGGATATGCTCATATTCTTATGGACTGACTATAGGGTCTGAAATTAAGATCTCAACATAAGATTATACATTTTAATGCTGGATTCATATCATACATTATATATTCCAAATGGAACATTAATGGTGAATTGAAAGTTTACTTATTAAGAGTTAAGGCTTACAACTATAACTGTGGCTGTCCGCTGAAATATAGGTTCTGATGCAATACAATGTAGAATCATTCCTTGTATGACTATTTCTAACAAGCTCTCTAGGGATGGCATGTCCCAGGGTCCAAACACCAGTGCCTCAGATACAGAAAAGTAGAACATAGGAGTCAGATTGCCTGGATGACTTTACACTGGAAGGGCTTTGTTGTTTCCACAACAGCAAGCGGGGAGCCATTGACTTGAAGTAATTGTTGTACACTGGAGATCACTCTGCCATATTTGTAAACATCAGCGCATTAATTAGAATAATTTACTTGTTTACTTTTATGAGAATATTTTGAAACCATAAAATTGCTGATAAAAATCAGGATTCGTCTTAGTTCATATGGTCTTAAATTTAGTTGAATGTAATAACCTTTAATAATCTAAAGGTTTATTAGCGCTCCTTGCTGTAGATAAGCAAGAACAAAGTTTAAATCCCGGGTGAGTTTCGCGGACCTGTCTCTGCTCCGAGCCCCCAACTCTGACTGCAGAGGGTCCCAGCCACTCCGATCACATGACCAGGAGTCTTTCCCGCGGCCTCAGGTTCAGTCCACACTCTCCTCCCACCTGCCTGCCCCTCCGGACCCGCCCCGCATCCGCTCTGCACCAACCGCTCCACTTGGTTCCTATGACCTGGTGAACGTTCGCATGCAGCTTTGATTTGGTCCGGATCCGCCCACCGCCTGTTCAGCACTATTCTGGACGCCGCCGAGAGGAGTGCTGCCTAAGTCGGTGTTCAGTTTTCCAAGACCCTGAGGTCCGAGTGTCACTCTGGACATTGGCACGTCTCTGCCTTTGCTCTGGCCCCGCCCACTCCGGTCAGTTTTTGACAGGAAATGCATGTCTCAGGAAGTGTCACAGGAAGTCCATTGCTGACTAACCAGGCCCTGAATTCTTCCTGCAGCGTTCAGCAGTCACCACGAGAGGGCTGTCTTGCCGTTTTCCTAACAAGTTTGCCTTCCAGAAATCAAAGTTAGAAGTGCTTTTAGGTAAAGCATAGAAAATTCCTGTTTAAAAACTCACGGAAAGGAATATGCAGGAATTTTAGGACAGCATTAAAAGGCAAAACCTATAAATTATGGACAGAGAAGAAAGAACAAAGAAATGGGTGATATTTTAAATTCAATCACACAAGAATGTCTCCCAAATCTACAGAAAATTATTCACCAAGTACAAGAAGTCCACGGAACATCAAACAGAGAGGACCAGAAAAGAAACTCTCCACAGCACATCATAGTGACAACAGTAAAGACACAGACTAAACAAAGGTACTGAAAGTTGCAAGAGAGAAGGCCAAGTCCCCCACAGTCAGACCCAGCACAATGACAACAGGTTATTCAGTGGAAACTTTTAAAGCCAGAAGGGCTTGGAAAGATTTTTATTTCACAACTTCCAACACTGACTGTTACACTTCACAAAACTACTGAAAGAGAAGTAAAAGCTTTTCATGACAGAGACTAAAGGAATGTATAACCACTAATTTCATTATTTTCACTAAAATTCACATTTTTAACCTTTCTTCATAAAGGCCATCAGTTATGCTCATGCCAATTCTTTCTTTTTGAGTTCTTATGTAAATTTATTTACCAACAGTTAATATTTCAAAATGTGTGTGCATGTTACAGTTCTGCATTTCATATAAGACAACTGTGCCTGCAGTTTTTCCACTGGGTGTTTTTACACAGATTTGAGTGTGGACTTTACAATGCAGCAGTAAAGGTGGTACGCCCATTCTTTGGTAAATAAGCCCCTATCCTATCCTCTTTTAAAAAAATAATAATAAGTGAACTGTAAAACAAACAACAAAAGATTTGTAACAGCCTGAAACATTTTTAATAAAATTTCTTATATTTCTCTGGAAAAAACAAAATAGAAGTCTTGCAGATTAGTCATTTTTCCTTACCTTCTATAAAGAATGAAATAAAGGGGCTGGATATATGGCTCAGTGGTTAAGAGCACTGGCTGCTCTTGCAGAAGACCCAGATTCCATTCCCAGTACCCATATGCTAATTAAAAACCATTCACATTTCCACTTTCAGGGTAATGAAAGCCCTCTTCTGGCCTCTGCAGACATTGCAAGAGATGGGTACAATTACATACATGCATGCAAAACACTCATACACATAAAATAAATATATCAAAA